TCCTACAACACTCCCAAACTTTAAGCGTGCCCTGGTATTATATTTCACCTGCCCAGCCACAGGTAGGCCCTCATGCAGCGATGGCAGCTGCACAAAGTGGGCTCATCTCTACTGCCAGACAGACCACTTTTAAACTGTTGGTAATTATGCAGGGATGACAAGCAGCTTTCTACCTAACCCATTACTTGCAGAATTCATAGCTCTCCATCTACTTACTCCATAGGAAAGCCAGTGCCACTTCAGCATCTCTGTTGTGGACCACGAAAATGAACTTCACACAGACAGATCAAGTGACATCAGCACTCTCCAGGGCCTCCCAGTATTGGGCAACTACTATCTAAGTTGGTTTACTCTCATTTCAAAGGCAGGTACTTTGTGATTGCAGAACCACCTGAACATTGGGGTGGGAGAAACTCCATGATCTAAGGTGAACCTAAGAAAAGCAAAATTAAAATCTATCTGCATGCCATTACTTATGGTAGGCCTGAGGTAAAGGTTAGCAACTGTTTGTGGAAAAAGGAACAAAACAAACAAACAAACAGGACTGCAGAGCCCACTATAGTCATTGGGGACATAAGGCAGAAGATTCCCTCTAGCTGAGTTTAGTAGAAAGAGAAATCTGCAGAGGAGGGAGCTCTTCACTCCCCCAGACTAAGAAGAGGGGAGTGGTAGCACAAACAGCTTGATAATCTCCAAAGCCACTAAATCACTGGAAAGCAAGGCGGGGGGAGCATTTAAACAGCACTGATCATCACAGCAAAAGGATTAAAACATGTTTAGTTCATTTGTTATTACTTTTTAAACAAGTGTCAGAGAAAATTTAAACCTCATTCCTGACCCAATCTAAGTCGCAGACTGACAGCAGGACCTGTGGCCAGCAGCCCTTAAAATTAACAAGCAAGCTGCACATTATGAAAGTTCCTACATTTCAGGTCCTCAGAAGGAAGAATCACTACACAGTGGACTGAAGCCTGCCTCAGTTGCTCAAAGGAAAGTTGTGTTTCTAAGCAGCAGCAACAGTACTGGCATCTTCCCTCACGAGTTGTCTTTGCACTACTAAAACATTGCAAATCACTTCTCAAACTACATCTTGTAAAATCCACAGAATACAATAGTGGGTGGAAGAAGTACAGAATTAAGAAGCTTGTCCAAGATCTTGGAACATGCAAGTAACTCAGGAACAGACCCTTGCAGAAACTGGTACAGAACAATGTCCTTCCACGACGACACCCTGCATGCTTTCTTGGGGCTTTAGAATTAAATAGTGTAATGGATTACCTTAAAAGCAGGAAATTCAGATGCTTGCCTATCCAGTCAGGCATTTAAGGCACACAAAACCTGAAGAAGATACAGCTCCAAGTAAGTATGCGCTTTAAAATGGCATTCTGCTCAGCTGAGATAACAGGAATTTTGAGTCTTGCAGTTCACATGCACAGATAAATTCCAGCACTCTTTCTTCTGTCTACTTCAAACTCACCAAAAATATAGAGAACGCTCCATGCTCTTCAGAAAGTGACATTCAGCACTCCCACACTTAGTAGAGGCTAAAATAAGTAAAATTTTACTCCCAATGGAATTAAACTACACATATCCCCAAACTGACCTTATATTGAACACTATGGCTGTTGGTAGCTTTCTGTCATAAAGAGAGCCTGGCAGAACTCTCTGGAGAGCACTATTAAGTCCTGTCAAGTGAACAGAAGTCACTACTGGAGCACCTTTAAGGAAGCAGCTTTACAGGTAAACATTATCTATGTGAACTCCAGATAGAGTTCCCTTGTTGTTATGCAGATAGATAAAATAATTTCACACACAGAGCTATGAGAGAGCATGGACTGATTTTATGAAGCAAGCTATAAGGCCAAGCAACAACTCCAGTGTGCTCCTCAATTAACAAACTGATACTAGTTAAAAAGCTGACCCAACTGAGGCCATCATGAGGCCCTGTTACTGCATAATGGCACTATGCAACTCTCCCCTTGATTATAAGCAGAAATGCACAACGGGTGGCTTCTCTTGTGTCTGTCTCTGCAACTAATGTTTAACAGTAGACAGATTTTTTAAAAAAGCTTGTTCTTCCTCCACAATCATAGTAAAAATATTCAAGCTTAACGCAGAGTTCAGACGTGATTTTTTTCTATTCCCACTATAGGAAATTAGTGATACATAATTCATCCTAATATAAATATCTTTGCCCAGGCTCCATTAAGTACATTTAATAGAAAGTACAGATATCATGAAATCCCTCAACCCTGAAGCTCCGATTCTGCTCCTTGGAAAAAAACTGAAAGCCTACTTACTACTTTGGTCTGATTTAAGGTTTTTGATAACCCATCTCCAAGAACTCAGATTCAAATTTTGGCTTGGATCCCATTCACTTGAGAATTAGGTGACCTCCTTCTAGTCCTTTTTGGTAATAGGAAAGCAGGAAATTGTCACTTGACTGTGAACTGAAGAAAGAATTTGGACAAAACAGCATGTGCCCACTGGCCAAGCTCAAGATGCGCTGGGACGGCAGATCCAGACAGAAAGTTCACATCGCACCTGTCCACACCACATTCAGCATTATTATGACCAGCGTCATGAAAAGCAAAGCCGGCAAGCATACAAAAATCTGAATGCACAAAGAAGCCAAATACTATTGAAGAAATCCCACTTGATGCTAATTAACATTAAGGCTGGCCAGAACCTGCTGTGATTCAAACTTGCACTCTCTGTTCAAGCAAAAGTTCAGGGAAGCCTGGCAGAACCAGTGACTGAACCACAGGTGCAGGAAAAGCTGGCTGGATCTGTGAACTGCTTCCATATCACGTGGTGATAGAGAACAGTCGGCATCAGAGCATGATAGTTGGGAATGGTAGCCAGCCAGCTAATCACGCAGTGATCTCTCATGCCTTTTGTTTGTTTTATGAAAAAGAGGTTCTGCCAATTGGTTTCAGATCAAAATTCTTCCTAATTAGGAAAGAAAGAAAATTTATATAAAATGATGCTCAGTAGGAATTAATCAGAAACACAGTCCTCCTGAGGGCATAAGCCTTTTTGGTTAAGTAAAAAGTTGCCACCAGCTAATGTGCAAGACAGTAATGATTAGCCATCTGGTGAAGGTTCCTGCTAAGCTTGCCATGTTACCCCCTATGCTGAGGAAAGCAGAAGGTGGATCAGTTACATTCTGTCCTTGCCTGCAATTGTGTGGTCATCCTTAGTAACAAGACACAAAGCTTTCCAGCACAACCAGGAATTGTAACTGTTCTGACTTTTCAGCAGCCCATTTTTTTTTTTTAATCACTGCATCCCAGCTACATTATTTAAAATAAAAATTATCTATAGCCTTTCTGAAAGCTGAATTTATTCTCAAGCTTTATCAATCTTTGTTATTTTTGCCCCTTTGTTTCCTTCTGCAAAAATTGCAACTGCCAGGAGTCTTCCCAGTCATCTAAAGAGCATCAGTAAACAGGAGCAGAGACAGATGGCTGCAGCTCAGTTTAAACCCGCACAAGGTCCAGCCTCTCCCCTACACTGCAAGTACTACCCATAAGATAACAAACATATGCATAAAACCAAACAAGAATGCAGTAGTCCCAGATAACAAACAAGTACGTATATACAGCCTGATAAAGAAGTCACTGTGAGGACAGGGTGCTGAGGTTTCACATACAGTGAACATCCGTTAGAACCGTACAGCCTTCCAATAATACAACAACGGGATATAAGGATGGCGAGGGGGGGCAGGCAGGGAAGAGTTCTCCCTCCATTGTTGCTCCCAAAAGTATTGCTGGCAAGAAACAATCAGCAGGGAAAGTAAAACCAGGCACCTCCTTCCAGCAAAGTTATTCTTCTGGGAACTAATACACCTAATTCACACAACCTGAGAAAGTGACAACATCTCTGATAGGCCTCTCAATTCACCCACTACTTCAGGAATTCAGTCACATTGACAAATACCATGTTAACCCCTTATTAAAATGAGAGATTCAAAGAGACAAAGAAAACCCACAAGATAACTCACAGATTTACAATGATATAAGTCTATCAAAACAATCATACTGAGGTGTTGGGTTTTTTTTCATTCCTGGATTTGATTGTTTTTCATTCACTGCATAGAAGACTACTGGTGTTAGCACAAGATACTATTTACATTATGTGCCTTGCCTTCTTGAATAGACTCAGATGTCCACATACATTCAATAAATCTATCTGAATCACCACAGTTCACTGCTTGCCTCTTCCACCAACTATAAATCCACTGTGATTTGACAGACACACCTGCATGCCTGAATGGCTTACATAAGAACGGGTTCAAACATTGCCCATTCTTCCCCAAACAAAAATTTTGACTCTGCTGAAATTAAATTAACAGCTCTCCCTAAGGGCTTTCTGATATTCTAAGTTCTTCCTTCACTTAGTGATAGCAGAAAGCTTCAAGAACAGGGTTGCACAATCATCACCTCCAATCAGCTCTAATTGAAGGATGACACGAGACAGAACGAGAAATGGGCACTCCAATTAATACAGACAGGAAAAAACAAGATTATGGGAGCAGCAGCATCATTATTGGTAAAGCTCCAGCAAAACCCTCAGGTTGTAGCATGTTGGCACACTACCACCTCTGAGGTAGAGTTTAACTACTCCTCAGTGCAAGAGTACGAGGGGGGGAATGATCTGGTGGTGAATACTGAACAGTTCTGGCCTCTTTTTACCTCAGTGTTCACACTGAAACTTTAAGAACTGATTAACATGGGACTCCGTTGATCCTCTCAAGAGAAGCCTGAATCAACCCTTCTAGGAATCAGATCTGTATTCCTAAAACACAGTCTGATGTATACCTCTGCAGGACCTTCCTAAAACAGGACAACTACAAAAAAACCACAGACCTCACATTAAGCAGTTGCCCCCTTAGAGCAATTCACACAGGGTCACCTAGAAAACCTCTCCCATTCATTTCCATGATGCTATTTCCTGCTCCACACATTTAAAAGACTAAACAAAAAGCTGGTACGCACCTGTATCCCCATGGAAGCAGCTGTCCTGGTGACATCTCCCAGAAGGCAAATCTCCATCACTTGGCCAGATCTGTCCTGTTTTTCGTACACCCACAATAGTAGCCTCAGACACAATGACTTGCTGCTGCCTGTGCCGTTTTTGCGACTGGGGGGTTGGTGGACTGCTACTATCAAAGGACTGCTGAGAGTTCTGGGAGGGAGAACGGCTTTTTTCCCGATACATGCGGTAAGTGGTGGGGCTGGGGGAGACATGGCTGGACTGCCCTGAAGAGAAGTCCTCCTCGCTGGAGGTAAGGTTCTCATTAGAACTACAATCAGGAGTATATCCTCCTCCAATATCTTCAAAACTTCTGGGCGAATAAGATCTCCTAGGCCAAGTGAGATGCTTTTCCTGGTCAGTTGTGCCCTGATTCCGCAGAATAGGTCCCTTCCCTTCTCCTTCCCCCATCATTCCACCAACATAGATACTCTGATAGGGTTGAAAGTCCATTGGCTGCCAAGGTGAGCGGTTGCTGCCATTGGCATTTATCAAGTTATCTTTGAGAAACCTGGGGTTCAGTTCAGCATCCTCATATTCTCCATCATAGCCAAAGCTGCTCTCCGAGGACCTTCCCCTGTAAGCAGGCCGCTGGAACTCACTGAAGCTGGGTACCATGTTAGAAGGGAGGGAGTGCAAAGACTTTTTGCGTTCCATTTGCATGGCTTGGCTACCAAGGGAGCTTATTTTATCGGAAACATCTTTATCATTGACCTTTACTAGACCCTTCTCATGATGATACTCCATGTTCACATAAAAGGGCTTTTCAACAACGTCCTTGTTATCTCCAGAAGAATGTGAATTAACCTTTTTAATCCTCTCAAAATTGGACCTTAGGGCTGCCACACTGGTGCTGTTCCCTCTCTCCTTAGAAATAGGTTCAAATGATCCCTCCTTCTCAGCAGATCCCCCTAGCCTGCGAGTGGAAGCCGATCTGTGTTTTGAAGGAGAGCCATCCGTATCGCAGCGATTCTCCGTATCTTCTACAACTCTCTTCAGTTTCTCTTCACCATAGTACTTACACCTGTCCTGCTCTCCCTCTCCATGATGGGGGCTGTCCAAAGGTGACAGGTCTGACCCATCGCTCTGGGTAGACAGCTTCCGCAGAGAGGGTATCCTGGGTTTGAACTTTTCCTCCCCGTGATGTGACTTGCTTTTTTCATATTCGTCTTGGTCAGCAGACTGGTGATGATGCAGGTCTTGGATCTGCTGCTCTGCACCCCCTTCAGGCAACTGAGAAACACGTTTAAAACCCCATCTCTGTCTATCATAGCTTTTTTTCTCTTTTGCCAGAAGAGTCTGCAGGTAAATCATGCGGAACCTTTCCTTGTTGACCTCCATCTCCAGTCTCCGGATAGATGCTTTGCACATCTCCAGCTCCTGTTCAATGTCTCCCACAGATTTCAGCTCCATTTTAGGAGGCTCAGAGTCTGCAAATTGTGCTTTCCATGCCTCCACAAACCCCACAGGGTCCACCATTTTGCATACAGGAGTAAGTGGAGAATACGGGAAGGAGGCTGGAGAGAGAGAGAGGTGGAGAGAATAAACCAACCGGATCTCACATGTAGAAGCAGAAACAGCTCCGGCAGGGTCAACTCAATGCGTCTCTTTCACGGTCCATGCAGGGAAACTGGGATAAACGGCAATCCTCGGAGCAGTCCCTCCTCCCCGTCTCCTGCAGCTTCTGCCGGCCCCAGCCTCCCGGACACTCGCTACTCTCTCCCCGGCATGACTGATCTTCAGCGAGCGAACAACAATGCTCCCACCCCGGCGATCCCAGAGCACCTCAAAGTGGGTGGACAAAGGAGCAGGCTCGGGGCGGGGGAGGGAAGGTAAATATCGCCCCCCACCCA